TTGCAAATTCATTTAACTATTCTACAGAAATTTGAGCGGTTGAAAGATCCTGAAGCCAGATATCTAATCAATCTTCTAGAAAATTTTATTCCACTGGTCCTAGACTTCTATCCTATTATATTTTGTAGTGGAAATTAGCCAATTTATCAAGAAGCAATATTTTGTATTTGGTGTATTTTTTATTAATACTAGCGAAAAAATTACAACAAGCTTCCACTAGCCTTTCTGAGCAATGTGTTTTATTGAAATAGTATTAATCATCCTATTGCTCAGACACTTACTAACTCTCTCCATGTATTTAATGATTATTATGTAGAAAATTTTCATAGTTCAATATAACGTCAAGTCCAATATCCAATATGGCAGATCAAATTATTCAAGAGGCACAGATAATTGATCTAATGCATAACAATAATACTTTTGTAGATCATTTCTTACCGTGACATGGAATTCATCCAATCAGGATCACGAATTTACATATGTATAAGGGCCCGAAGTGAAAATAATAAAGGCCTAAATTTTTATTTATACACTTTATACTTAATGAACTTTCTTTAATATTTTGTAGTCACTATGCGAGATATTTAGAACCGAAGCTCATTTTTATTCATAGAGAAAGTTAAATTACTTTTAAAAATCGGCATAATTTTACATGAAAGCCGCTAAGAAAATAAATGCAATACTGATTTAAAAGTAATACGTTTAATTGTCAAGAGACTATTCATTTATATAATTTTGTATGCTAAAAATTTGCGATTTTATTATAATAAATTTGGACTTTTATTGTAATATTTTTGGCCCTTATATGTAATTATTTTTAATTTGGGCTCTTATTTTTAATTATTTTTATTTTTTGCGCCCTTATATGTAAATTCACTTAATTTTTTCATGATTAAATGATTGTGATTGCGATCGCAATTGCAATTACAATCATTTAAACAAAAATTAATCATAGCGATAGGGGTAATAATTAAAATTGTATTTATTATTGGTTTTTTTTCATTATCAATAGAATTGTGAACATTATGTAACAATAGCAACGAAAAAAATTTTTTTAAATAAAATTTTATTTTTTAAATTACGCTTTAAAATTATTCATAGCATTACTATATAACTGATCTATATTACTATTTAAAACCACATAATCAACTTCAACTGCACTAGTATTCGTAGTAGTTTCTGTTGCTTCAGAATCGTTTGAGTTACCTTCGTCTATAACTATTGCTACTGCTCCAGTCGAGTTTACACTCTCATCAAAAGCCTTACAATTTTTCTCTATTCCACT